CGCAATTCTAAACCAATCCACATGCCCTAGAATCAAGGCCTGTTTCCCAAAGCATCAGAAGCAGTGTCAGAGGGTAGACCTGCTGTTCTGCAAGAGAAGAGCTAGATTCGAGTCCAGTAGCACCTCAGTGACCAACAAGATTTGGGGGGTGGTATGAGCTTCCAAGAGTCAAAGGTCCCTTCATCAGATACGAGTAGGAATGCGGGTCTCTGAATCAGTCTGAAGGAGGGAGGGGTGTTGTAAAAGATGTTTGTAAAGAATGCAAAGGCACAATGCATATTGTAGTCAGCAAGATTAGAGCAGAGGGGGAGTGCTTGGGGGCTTTCCAGAAGTATTCGGGAAGCTATAAGAACGGTAAGACCCTTTACTACCCTTATCTTATCTCAGCCCTGACCTGGATAGCCCAGGCTAGCCAGATCTCGGCAGCTAAGCAGGGTTGGCCCTGGCTAGTATTTGGATGGGAGACCTCCAAGGAATACCAGGGTCGCCGTGCAGAGGTGGAAAATGGGAAACACCCTCTGAACGTCTCTTGCCTTGAAAACCTTACAGGGTCACCATAAATCAGCTGTGACTTGACAGCAAGCAACCACTACCGCCCTATTTAAATGGTCAGAAATATCAGATAGGCATAGTTACAGGGCTTCCGTTTGATTTTTTTTTAAATCACCTATTACATTTCGTGAATGCCGATATTTCGCTACACGCGAAATCGCTCCATACAAGCCACTGACTAAACTCTGAGTCAAGCGTCTTGCCATCGTGTAGGCAAAATCCCAAGGGTTTTGCTTTCAGGGGTGGAAAAACCTCCTAAAATTATCCACAGGGCATATACGAGGCTTCAAATAGTGGGCCTTTTCTTCAGCATGCTAAAAAAAAAGTAGCAGGCGAATTATCATTCAATACAGCACAACGATAGCCTGAAGTAAAGAACGGAATGTTTCTTCCTACGGCTGTTTGTTTCATTTTCAACAGTTAAGTGTTATCGCCTAGCATTTTAATTAGTCTAAGTAATTATTACCAACGAGGGTTAAGAAATATAAAATTTTGCACTGGTACAACCGCCTGAGTTTTTTTAAAAAATGCCTCTATTACTTCATTTTATGACCCTGAAGTGGCCTTTCCCCCCTCTTAACCACTTTGGCATCCTCGGAACACGGCTGTTCATCGATGGCTAGAAAGCATGGCAATGATTGCGTGCCAACCAATCAGAGAACGCGGTTTTAAAGATGGTGATCAAGTAACTGTCAACTCTGCTCCCCAAGAAAACTAGGGGAGGGGGCTTTGGACTTGCCCTCTCAGACAGTAGCTTCCTTCCCAGCCAAGGGGAATTGCAAAAAGAATCTGCGATCTGTGTTCCAGATCTGTGTTCCAAGAACGCCCGCTGCAAATTCTGCTGGGCTAGGGATGCCAGCCTTCAGGTGGGGCCAGGAGACCTCTCAGATTTACAACTGATTTCCAGATGACAAATATCGGTTCCCCTGGAGGAAATGGCTTCTTTGGAGGGTGGACCCTATGGACTTCTACCCCTACCTTCCCCAAACTCTGATTTATTTATTTAAATTCAAAGCAGCCGTTAATACCACCTGGGCATTTTACAATATCTGGTTCTCTGTAAGTTGTATTTCCTTAGTATGTCTTTCCCTGTACGAAATCAAAAACATCATGCCTCATTTCCCAATAATCGTGTCCAGTAAGACATTTCATATCCTCAAAAGGATCTGCCGACTGACAATAAATCCGCTTTGTAATGGGGGGGGGATTTTTTTTTTTTTTAATTGCAGCCGTAACCAAACACCAATTCCAGGAACATCTCCGTTCTCCCAATCAATCGGGAAGCAGCCAAGACTCGGCTGAGTATAATGTCAGTAACCACTCCCCTCTGAGTTCTGCCGCCCATTTCTTGAAGCTGGCTGTAAACACAGAAAGGGAGGAGCCAACAGCTGCCTGCCCAGAAATTTTGTGAGTAATTTACTAGAGGAAAAAAAACAAGTGCAGCTCAGGAGGCAGAGAAGGAAAGAAGGAGGGGAGACAAATACTCCCGCTCGCTAGCTGGGTCAGAGGCAGGATCGCTATGTTTTCCAAGAGGGACTGCCCGGCGTTTCCCTGCGTGCTTTCTTTGCTGAAAATGTTATGTCCCAGCCATGTTTGGATTTTGAAATACAAAGGGTCGTACTACGTGAAGTGAAGGTAGGGATCTCGGCAGGCAGCAGCGGTGGAGGGCTTGGGGCCATGCCCGGGGTGGTGGTGGGGGAACGAAAAGCTAAAATTAAAAGACAGCTGGAATTACTGTGTTTTAAAAAGGCAGAGTAACATTTGGAGAAGTGTGTTCATGCACACACGCACCAGCAACGCAGATAAATTGCTTAAGAACGTGGGTTTCTACTATGCTAAGGTGGGCACGGCACATTACTTTAGGGGACTCTTCTGAAGTCACTTTTATCTGAAGTTAACGTGTAGCGGGAATGTAAGCGCTTGACAGTCCGATCCCAAGAACTCTTCCTGGGGAGTAAGCTGTACTGAATAGACCTGAGTAGGATTCTGAGTAGACCCCAAGTATTTTGATAAGCAATAGACAGAAAATTTGTTATGGACTTTTAAATTAATTGTAACGTTAATAAAAGGCACATGTGGTAATTTGGCAAGAAAACATTTATGAGACGCCAAAAAGATTTTCATATAAAAGCTAACTATATTTAGGGTTGGCTATTTGACTGGTCCGTTGGTCAAATATTGACCTAAAGTCGTTTTAAAGGACTAACTCTTCAAAGAGATACTTTAATCATCAACTGGTTTGATGATTAACTGTTACTGAGAAACAATGGCATTTGCTTTTAAAGAATTGTAACGATTACGATGATAGGTAGGGATTCTATGCAGACTTTGATTTTTTTAAATCTTGGGACATCAGGAGCAAGGCTGGTATTACAACTTCTTAGAAAAATTACAATTTTTTTTTTTAAAAACCCTCTGCAAAACGAAAGCAATTGTTACACCCCAATGCATTTCAAATGGCGCCGTGCCAAACAGGCAGACGGTGAATTAACCAGGTTTAGCGATTGACCAGAGTTATAGCCGATAGCCCTGTTAGGAGAAGGGCTGCCTCATGGTTAGGTTTGCCCCCCCTCCGGTACAGCACAACAGAGTTCTTTCCTGCCCCCACTAAGAAACAACGCCAAAATGAAATCAAAAAAGTGCTATGTGGTGGCACCGGTCAACACCCAACCTGCCAATCATCGGACAAGCGGAGCTACTTAAGTGGGGTCATTCCCAAATTGTGTGAAGCCAGACTCACTTCTGAACTTCAGCTACCGTAGGGGATCTAATGCCACAGTGCTACTGCCTGCCATTAGTACAGTGTGGAAGGCAGTAGCAGACTAGGCATATTGCTGCCCGTCTGCACTGTTAAGTGGACGGGGAAAGCCAAACCCCTGGGAATGAATGGCTGCATGGCGAAAGAGGGGCTGAGGAGGGGCTAGAACATAAGAGCATAAGAGAAGCCAATGTTGGATCAGGCCAATGGCCTATCTAGTCCAACACTCTTTTGTCACACAGTGGCCAAAAATACCAGGGGCCATCAGGAGGTCCAGCAGTGGGGCTCAGAGCCTCCTCTCCCAGCTCAAGAGTTTGAGCCTCAGCGGTCAAGCCCCACCTGCAAGAAGACCTACACCAGGGCCATGGCCCACATTTTCAGAAAGCACTGACCCAAGCCCTTGGGGGTGGAGTTTGAGGCTAGCCTGGCATTCTCCAAAACTCCCAAAAATGCTGGCAGTGCTTCTCCATGATTACATGGTTCAGGACCGGGGTGCCTGAAGGACCGTCTTCTCCCACCCATTCTTACCTGGGAACTAAGATCAGAGGGAGAGGCGCTCCTGACTGTCCCACCCATCAAAGAAGCTTGTCTGGTGAGTAGACAAGAGACGGTGTGGAAAGTGCCGCCAAGTCACAGCTGACTTATGGCGGCGACCCAGTAGGGTTATCAAGGCAAGAGAGGTTCAGGGGTGGTTTGCCGTTGCCTGCCTCTGCATCACAACCCTGGCATTCCTTGGAGGCCTCCCGTTCAAATATTAAGCAGGGCCGACCCTGCTTGGCCGCTGAGGTCTAATGAGATCGGGCTAGCCTGGGCTATCCAGGTCCAGGGCCCTACTCAGGGGGCAGCCAAGGCTTCCTTTAAGCTGGGGAGTCTTGTGAGCAAAAATTCTACTTTGTGAGCTACTGGCATTAATGTTGTGAGCGAGCCATTTGGCTACGGCATAAATCAGTTTTGCTCTGGAGCCCTCCTTCCTGAGCTGAGACAAAAAAGTGTGAACCGGAGACTAAAACACTGTGAGCCTGTCAGCTTCGAGGGAACGCTGCTACCTTCTGCTGCTGCTGCTAAGGTTCTGTTTTGTTGAGCATGAGGACTGTAACTCAAATGGTGAGTTAGGAGCTGGGGGTTGAGAGGAGAAAAAGATGGTACCCATGGATGTCTCGGGGGTGTGTGTGTGTGAGAGGCTAAAAAACTGTGAGCTAGCTCACACTAACTCAGCTTAGAGGGAACACTGGTGGCAGCCCCTTTATTATGGAACAACCCCCCCCCCCCAGTGAGGTGTGCCTGGGCCCCTTCACTCTCAGTCTTTAGGGGGCTGCCATCAGGGGGCTTTTGTTGATTTGTTTATTTAATTATTTATCTGATTTATAACCCACCCTCCCCGCCAGAGCAGGCTCAAGACTCATTCTTCTGCCTACCTACGGATTTGAATTCCTGACCCTAATCTAGCGGTTTTTATATTATTTTATGTACTTTGTTGTATATTATTATTATTATTATTTACATTGTAAGACGTCTTGAGTTCCTGTAAGGTAGAAAGGTGGATAGTAAATATTTCCGACGAGCGAATAAACAAACATAAAACCTATCCAGGCCAGCATAACTTTGAAATAACGATTACGTGGGGGAGCAGAACGCAGGGTACGAACTGGCATCCCGACCATGGCCTGGAGAAGGCAAACATCACCGTCAGCAACAACTCCAGGTGTGCGCATGGCCCAGCGCAGTTCTGATGCAATTGAAAACGTGCCGCCTGCCAGTGAGCACGGTGGCCCCACGTCCTCACTAATGCCCTTATGTCCACGGGAACTTAGATGGACCCCAGAGCTCCATGGTTTTGCCCCTCCAGAAGGCCTCCAGGTCCAATCTTTTCCTTCCCCCATCTTCTGGGTTTTATTTTAAAGTGAAACAATAGACCAGGGGTGGCCAAACTGTGGCTTGGGAGCCACATGCGGCTCTTTCACACATATTGTGCGGCTCCCGGCAGGGCGGGTGGGGGGAAGCTAAATATCACTAGCAAACAGATATCGCTGGACAAATAAATATCATTATCAATATCTGCCTTTACCGCCTTTTGGTATTATTTTTGGCAGTCTCGTTTAATGTTAATAAAAAGCAAATCTGCATATTTCCCAGTAAAAACGTCTGTAATGTTTGTTCATGTCTTGCGGCTCTCAAACATCTGACATTTATTCTGTGGCTCTTAACGTTAAGCAAGTTTGGCCACCCCTGCAATAGACCATTCTGATAGGACTGCCTGCAATAACTGGATGACATTCATAATTTACACTGATTAAACATCTTGACATCCTTTTAAGTATACAGAAGAAGAAGAGATTGGATTTATACCCCGCCCTTCACTACCCAAAGGAGTCTCAAAGTGGCTTACAAACTCCTCTCCCTTCCCCTCCCCACAACAGACACCCTGTGAGGTAGGTGGGGCTGAGAGAGCTCTGACAGAAAGTGCTTTTTTTTTCAAGAACAGCTCTTATCAGAACTACGGCTTGCCCAAGGTCATCCAGCAGCTGCGAGTGGAGGAGTGGGGAATCAAACCCAGTTCTCCCAGATTAGAGTCCGTGCACTTAACCACTACACCAAGCTTTATGCGCTCCCCTTCAGATTTTCAAGATCAACAATGCCGCTTAAGAGGCAGGGTTGAGTCCAGCAGCGCCTTAAGAGACCCCACCAGATCTGGAATGTAAACTTTTAGAGTCCAAGCTTGTATCGGACAAAGAGAGAGCTTTGACTCTTAAAAACTCACCCCCCTCCAAAAAAACCCCTTCTTGGTCTCTAAGGCGCTAGTGATGGAAAGCACTGTCAAGTTGCAGCTGACTTATGGCGAGCCCGTAGGGTTTTCAAGGCATGAGACAGACAAACAGAGGCGGCTTTGCCATTGCCTGCCTCTGTGCAGCCACCCTGACCTACCTTGGAGCGCTTCAGTCCAAGTCAGGGGTGTCAAACATGAGGCCCGGGGGCTGGATCAGGCCCCCGGAGGGCTTCCATCAGGCCCGCAGTGGAACTGACCATCTCCTGCTTCCAGTTCTGCTGCTGCTGCATCGTAACTTGCTTCGCCAGACTCTCTCAATCACTCAGCCATTTCAGATTTTAACCTGGGTCCTAGGCTCAGAACTCTGAGCACGAGATTTCTGTGGTGAATGTCGACAAATCAAAAGTAGGTTTGCAGCTTACAGAGCTAATGTCTTAAGCATGTTTTTATTTTAAGTTAAAAAAAGATCTTTGTGTTTAATATCTCCGCTACCTGGCATTACATTTTATGACACGTGGCCCGGCCCAGCAAGGTCTCATTTATGTCAGATAACATAACAAATGAGTTCGACACCCCTGGTCTAAGTACTAACTGGTGCCGACCCTGCTTAGCTTCTGAGACCAGACAAGACGGGTCCAGATCAGGGCCCTCTAAGGTGTTACTGGAATCAAATCTAGCTCTTCTCTCTCAAACTGTCTTCAGAGTTGCTGAAGAGTCGGACCAAAGGCAGCTAATCCTGCCGTTCAATAAGAGAGGGATTGATCAGTCTAAGAAGAACTAACAAGCAGTTAAATTAAGCGACGATCAAAGCAATTATGAAAAAAACATTCACTTAGTGCCTCTGGGGGGAGGAATGCCTCATATGAAAGAAGACGGTTCTTAGAAATCATCCTGCCTCTTTTCTGTTTCATAAAAAAACAAGAAAAATGGAGTTGATTTGTTTCCTGATGTGGAAGAGTAGCCCATAATTAGAAACACAAACAAAACACATGTGCTTAATTTTTTCTAAAAAAGTTCTCCACTAATTTGTGGCCAGATACTCCATGTTACTAGGGTTGCCAGCCTCCAGGTGGGGCCTGGAGATCTCCTGCTGTTACAATTGGTCTTCAGATGGCAGAGACCCCGTCCCCCCGGAGAAAACGGCTGCTTCGGAGGGTGGACTCTCTGGCATTGTCCCCTCCTGAGGTTCCTCACCTTTTGACTGGGATACAAAGGCTCAGGGATTGTCACTTGTATCTGGACAAATCGAGCTTTAGAATCATAGAATGTTAGAGTTGGAAGGGACCTTGCAGGTCATCTAGTCCAATCCCCTGCATTCTGCAGGAGCATAGCCGAAAGATAGCCCTACATACCTACAACATACCCGAAAGATGGTCGTCCAGCCCCCGCTTGAAAACGTCCAGCAAAGGAGCATCCACCACCTCCCGAGGCAGTCTGTTCCACTCCTCAACCACTCTTACAGTCAGAAAGTTTCTCCTGGTATTTAGCCGGTAACGACTCCCTTGTAATTTCCACCCATTACATCTAGTCTTGCAATCCGAAGCAAGAGAGAATAGATCCGCTCCATCTTCTACATGACAGCCCTTCAGATATTTGAAGACTGCAATCATGTCCCCTCTAAGCCTTCTCTTTCCCAGGCTAAACATACCCAACTCTTTCAGCCTTTCCTCGTACGACTTGGATTCCAACCCTCTCACCATCCTGGTTGCCCTCTTCTGGACACGCTCGACATGCTTTGATTCTCAAAACCTCATACCCTGAAAACCTTCTTGGTGTCTAAGATGCTGCTGGGTTCGAATCTAGCTGTTCTACTGCATACCAACATGGCCACCCTCCAATGCTCCCTCTCAGCCGTGGACTCTTGTGAGCAAAAATTCTACTTTGTGAGCTACTGGCATTAAAGTTGTGAGTGAACAATTTGGCTACTGCACCAATTAGTTTGCTCTGGAGCCGTCCTTCCTGAGCTAAGACAAAAATGTGTGAGCCGGAGGCTAAAACACTGTGAGCTAGCTCACACTCACTTAGCTTTGAGGGAACGCTGCTACCCTCTGCTGCTGCTGCTAAGGTTCTGTTTTGTTGAGCATGAGGACTGTAACTCAAATGGTGAGTTGGGAGCTGGGGGTTGAGAGGAAGAAGAAGAAGAAGAAGAAGAAGAAGAGATTGGATTTATACCCCGCCCTTCACTTGGAGTCTCAGAGCGGCTTACAAACTCCTTTCCCTTCCCCTCCCCACAACAGACACCCTGTGAGGTGGGTGGGGCTGAGAGAACTCTGACACAAACTGCTCTTTTTCAAGGACAGCTGTGCTAGAGCTTGTGACTGACCCAAGGTCACATCAGCAGGTGCAAGTAGAGGAGTGGGGAATCAAACCCGGTTCTCCCAGATTAGAGTCCGTACACTTAACCACTGCACCAAACTGGAGAAAAATATGGTACCCATGGACGTCTCCTGGTGTGTGTGGGGGGTGAGTTCCAGGAACACGGACAATGAGGAGGGACGGGTAGGGGGGTTTAAAGGGAGCATAAGCACTAAACAGCTCAGGGGGTCTACAACACAGAGTGCAAAACTCACAGCATATCCAAAAGCTATACAAGTGATAGAAAGGACTATTTAAAACCAACACAAGGTTAAAGGTTAAACGGTGCCTAAACCCGGGCTCCCAAATCTGTAGGCACCTCTGGAACTCTGACACACTGTGCTGGGAACAAAATGGGTGCCACAAAACAATGCTGCAGGAGGCAGAGCCAGCCACAGGTTACCTTCTGCTGCACATTGAAGTTCCTTGTGCCGTGGTGGCAGCTGCTGCCGAAGTAACGTTTTACAAAATCCTCACAGCCAGTCAAATCTCCAATGGCCAATCAGAAGCCTTACTGGGCAAAAGCTCCATCTGGCCCTGCCCACTTTCTAAAAACACTTGGCAGCAGTGTTCCCTCTAAGCTGAGTTAGTGTGAGCTAGCTCATAGCTCTTTAGACTCCGGCTCACACACCTTTGCCTTAGCTCAGGAAAGATGGCTCCAGAGCAAACTAATGTATGCAGTTGCCAAATCGCTCGCTCACAGCTTTAATGCTGGAAGCTCACAAAGTAGAATTCTTGCTCACAAGACTCCACAGCTTAGAGGGAGTACTCCTTGGCAGGTGCCAGAAAAGGTGCTGGCTGGCTCCACAGCCCCCATGGGCACCATGCTGGGGACCCCTGGTCTAAATGTACTCTGGGTCCCGGTTCCCATCCTGGATCACCTCCAGGGGGGGTGTTTCTGGCAGCCCCGTAAAACCCACTCACCGCCTGCTTTGGTAGTGTTCCCCCATCTGGTGTCATGCCCTTAGACTCCCAACACAAAGGAGATATTGGGCACTTTCACATACAGTAAATAACGCACTTTCAATCCACTTCCAATGCACTTTGTGACTGGATTTTACGGTGTGAAATGGCAAAATCCACTCGTGAACGGTTGCCGAAGTGGACTGAAACGGCATTATTTAGCATGTGTAAAAGCACCCGTGGTCACCCAGACCAGTTCCCACCCCTGAGGTCAGCACTGCTGGTAATCCATCTTGGGAGGAGGCGCCCTTTAAGAGCCTGGGGTAGGGATGTCAGATGGCCAACAAGCTACACCTAGAGGATGTTGTAGCTGAGTGAACTTCATGGCTACCTGCATGGTAGTACCATCATGCTGGCATCAATCTATGTGCCCAATAAGGGCCAAACTGAGTTCCTAAATGAAACACTTAATAAGTTACACTTGTTCAGAAAAGGTCATACTATCCTTGGAGGATAGTATGAAATTGAACATGAAATTGTGCAAACTTCAGAGGACGGCGAAAGACAGGAAAGCCTGGCATGATCTGGTCCATGGGGTCGCGAAGAGAGTCGGACTCAACTGTGCGACTGAACAACAACAAATCCTTGGAGGGGACTTCAGAAAAGGTCATACTATCCTTGGAGGGGACTTTAACTATTTACTGAACGAATGGCTTGATAGATCATCCCTTTTAAAAAAAAGAACTCATGTGAGGTGTCAAGCTCATTGCAACAACTAGTAGACAGGCATAATCTTAGCGGTGTGTGGTGGAGAACCCAACACGGCAGTGAAAGGGACTACTCATACTATTCATCTAAGTACAAAATTTACACCAGACTTGACTATATCTTTGTATCAAGGGGATCGCTCCCACTTTTCCAGTCCTCAGAAATTGGAATTATAAAATGGAATTATAAGACCATGCCCCAATTGAATGTATTTTTCGGCTAGGAAAAGAAAACAAATTGTAGCTGAGTGAACGGGGAAAGGTAGAAACCCTTAAGGAATACCGGAGGTGCAGAGAAAGAGAAAGGAAGGAGGATGAGTCAGACGAAGAGAGCAGCAGGATGGATCCTTGATGGGTCTGTACCCAGGGGACCTGAGCTGGTAAGCTGGTCTCAGTGAGGCAATCTAGTTGGGATACTTAGTTGGGTAACACATGTGTGGACATACCACGAGAACGAAAGATCTGAACTGATCGAGCTTGGCTTCACGTATTTTGACTGCGGTGGAGATGCTCGAATGCTGAGCTGCATTGAGCAAGAAGAGTAGGAAGAAAATTCTTAATCGCGGTGGAAGAAAGTGCTGCTCAGGTTAAGTGCCCTGAGTAGAAGCAGAACAGAAAAGGAAAAACATTTCAAGGTAGGACTTGTATGAGAGCTAGCATAGTGCAATGCTGAGAGCGTTGGACTAAGGTCGGGGACAGCCAGGTTTGAATCCCCACCCTGCTGCGGAAAGCATCTAGGGCCTACTGCTCCGAAATGGTATTTTAAACTTCTGTCTTTTGTTTATTTGAATATTTATAACTTGTTTTACTCCCTCTCTGGGGCCTCAGGACAGCTTGACTACACAAAATGACTCAATTTGAGATATGCAAATAGGCACTTCAGTTGTTGTTCTGGCAGATGATACGGTATAAAGCCATTTTGGGCCGGTACTGGAACTGCCAGCAAGGGTCACCAGCTAAGAGCCAAGAGTGCTGCCATGAGTGTAAGATAGAGGAACAGCTTCCCGGAAAGCGTCTGGAATGCCTTCTCTGTCGTTCTGGAGAGCATGCAAAAAAACCCCGAACATCGGGATTCCCCAACATGGTGCCCAAGGCGCCTACCAATGCCTTTCCTGATGCTTGCCAAGTGTGTTTAGAAAGTGGGCAGGGCTAAGTGGGGGGCACATGCCCGGTAGGTCTTCTGATTGGCTGGGCAGATTTAAAGGCATCCTATCAAACAGAGCTTCTTCCCTTAAACACCGAAGAGTTATAACAAAAGGTACGCACAACACTGCTCCCTAACGTTCTGTGGCTAACTCCGCCTCCTGCGGCGGCCAATTTGTGGTTGTGCCCGCAACCCTGTGTCAGAATTCCAAAGGTGAAAAATGTTGGGGACCCCAGTTGTACACTTTCCACAGGGCATTTGACTGAAGCTATTGTTAATTCTTGGCTGTATAGCAATACGGGACATTTGTTCCTCATTATTATTATTATTATTATAAGGATTAGGATTTACTTTGTGCTTGCTTGCTTATTGTTTGACAAGTCCAACTTGAAACGTTGCCAGGTGCTTGGAAACTTTCCCTGGAGACACAGGATGTGTGTTTTAAAAACAAACGAGCATAGCACTGAATCAATGTAGTACGTGTGGGGTTTGCAAGCGAGAGAGAGAAGCTGGGCAGCACCTTCACTGTTCTTCTTCTTCTTCTCTCCATTTAGAGAAGCTGGTAGCCAGCGGAGGAGACACGAACGCCCGGGTCACTATGTGGAGCTGTGAAGCCTTTAACAGCAACCAAACCTTACAGGGCCAGCTCCTCTGCCATGACTTTCATCTTATGCTTTCCATTTTCTCGCTGCTCTACCTCATCGTCTGCCTCCCGGTCGGACTCTGCTACAACGCCCTCCTGGTCCTCGTCAATCTGTACAACAAAGCCACAATGACCATGCCGGACGTCTACTTCGTCAACATGGCGATCGCCGGCCTCATCATCAACGTCATTGCGCCCATGTACCTCCTTGGGCCAGCCAGCACGAAATGGGCCATCCTAAGCTTCAACAACGAGGTCTACATCACGTTGCTGATCTTATTCAACGTGTCCTCCTTGGTGATCATGTACTCTACCACCCTGCTCAGCTTGGACTACTACATCGAACGCGCGCTGCCCAGGACTTACATGTCCAGCGTTTACAACACCAAGCACGTCTGCGGATTTATCTGGGGCGGAGCCATGCTGACCAGCTTCTCATCTCTCCTGTTCTATGTCTGCAACCACGTCTCCACCAAAATCATCGAGTGCTCCAAAATGCAGAACAAGGAAGCAGCGGACGCCATCATGGTTTTCATTGGGTATGTCGTCCCCGCTGTTGCCGTGCTGTACGCACTCGTGTTGATTTCGCGGATCCGGAAAGAGGCGACGCCACTGGATCAAGATACTGGAAGACTAGATCCATCTGTGCACAGGCTTTTGATCGCCACGGTCTGTACGCAGTTCACACTGTGGACGCCTTATTACGTAACTCTTCTCGTAAGCACATTAACTAGCATGCAAGGAAAGGTTCTGGATGAAAATTACATCCAGATATTACATTTTACCAAGGGGCTGTCCAAATTCTTGGCTTTCTCAAGCAGCTTTGTGATGCCCCTGCTCTACCGATACATCAACAAAAACTTCCCAAACAAATTACGACGGCTGCTTAAGAAACTGCATTGTGGGAATCAAGGGTGTGCCCACGAACGCACGGTGGTTCAGCAAGTTATAACGTAGGTATAAACGGACGCCTGTGGATCAGTCCCAAGTCTGTGAGATCTGTGTCTCTGAGACGGTCTTATAAGGAGACCGCTTAGCGAGGAAACTGAAAAGGGGGATTAATGTTGTTGTAAGTCAGCAAGTCGCAGATTTAACCTACAGATAGCGAAGGCGACTGGAAAACTTTGTTGAGAATCTGTTGAGAATCGGCGTACTATGACCCCTTGGGTTTCTAAAAAGTACCAATGCACTGATGCAGTGACACCGCAGTATGGGCTTTGTTCTAGTTATCCTACCCAGAGGGGGGGAAACATCACTAGAGAGCCAACTGAAGCTCTGAATGAACACCCAGCACTTTGTAATCCTGTAGCGTTCAAAAGAGGTATTCTTAAGGTTCCATGTAAAATAATATGATTTTTTTTTTTACGAAGTAGTGTTATTTCAAGGTGGGGGGAGGACACCCCCTTATTAGCTGATAACCTCCATTCACGATCGCACTGTTCAATGGGTATAACACACTAAATGACATAGAAAGCAAAATCAATGTTAGCATTTAATGCTTATTTGTTCCTGAATTCTCCAAATTCTTGAACTAACAGAAATCTTTATTTGTGATTCTGAAACAGATTGATTACTCGCAATTGCCTAGCTATAGCACTGAACCAAAAAAAAAAAAGGATTTACCTGTTGTTTTTTCCTCATTTTGCACCACAAAAACATTTCAGCCAGCCCAAAGCAGCCTCTTTATAAATAAGAAAAAAAGAATTGTTTTGCCAAGTGAAATGAAGGACAGAGGCATTGAAAAATTTAAGATGAACGCTGAACACACAGGGATGTGCCACCTTATCTGTGCCTGCGATTAGCATTCTTGAAATACTGCCTCTGTGCTTGAAAATGGGGGTAACTGTAAGGGTTTGCAAACAGTGCAGGTTCAGGTTAGTGGTCCCCAACGTGGTCCCCATGAATGGCACTATGTCTGCCAGCAACTCTCCTAGTGCCTGCCAAGTGTGTTTAGAAAGTGGGCAGGGCCAGGTGTGGTATGCACCCATCAGGGCTTCTGATTGGCTGTGCAGATTAAAAGGCAGCCTATTGAACATAGCTTCTGCCTTAAATGACATCGCTCTCTAGCGTTTTGTGATTGGCTCCGCCTCCTGCAGGAGCCATTTTGTGGTTGTGCCCGCCTCCCTGTGTCAGAATTCCAAAGGTGCCTGCGGGATCAAAAAAGGTTGGGGAACTGTGGTCTATGTATTGATCAGCACACGTGGCGTTTAGGCAAATGACTGGAAAAGCCACTGACTTGTGGGGAAACAGTGACCCACGTTGGCCCTGGTCAAGGAATGACAATATATGATCTATTTTGAATTTCGAGCCAGGTTTCTCTTTGCCTCAAGAAGAGGCAGCTGGATTAGTCTGCTTTAATGAGCAAAAGCCCCACACAGTCATACAGCCAATCAGGGGTCGTTTCGTAGAAAAAGAGCTAGGGGGACTCATTAGCATAACTCATTAGCATATGCAACACCCCCTGACATCACCGGAAGTGTGTCATAAGGCCACACACCCCGCCCCCAACGGTCCCGGCCGCCGCCGCCAGCCTTGCAGCTCCACTGCCGAGCCCCATGAGGGGCCCGGCGGTGGACCTGCAAGGCCGGCGGGAGTGCAAGTGAGCCCCGCGAAGGCCCTCCCTGGCCCCAGGCAGGCAGGGGTGGGGAGAGGCAGGGAGGAAGCAACTTACCCTCCCTCTTCTCCTGCCTCCTCCTGGCTGAATGAGGGCCGGAAGCGGGGCGGCCGGAAGCAGGGGGCGGGGCTTCGTCATGTGCCCCGCCCCCATACCTCACCCAGGGGAACTGCGATCCCCTGCGATTCCCCCGAAATAACCTCTGCAGCCAATTAAACTGGGCTTGGCGCAGGTCACAAGTTGCTTTTTGTACTCAGCCATTGTGCCTCCCTCTGCAGGGCCATCTCTCTCAGCATGGTTTGATTAGCCATATGAGCAAGCCAGATCGAACAGGAGGCCTGGGGGGCTCTGCGGATGCACAGGAAGGGGCTTTAGTGATAGAACACCTACTTGACATGTAGAAGGTCACAGGCTCAAGCTCAGCTATCAAGGAGCAGATAGCAGATGATGTGGAAGACCCAGTGAGGCTCGAGAGAGCCACTGCTGGTCAGAGTAGACAATGCTGCCCTTGAGAGACCAAGGGTCTGATTCAGGATAAGGCAGCTTCAGCTGTCTCTGTGTTTTCGGTGGCAGAGCATCCGCTTGGCACACAGATGGTCCCCGGTTCAATCCCCGGCATCTCCAGTTAAAAGGATCAGGTAGCCAGTGACGGGAAAGGGAGGTTTTTTCCACTTACCATGGAACTTCCTTTCTCGGTGGTTCAGGAGTGGGACAGTCCGTACAGATAGGAGGAGCTTATCCCGTCTGTACAGACTATCCCACTAGCTGAACCATTGGAGAAAGACCCCGTACCGGAGACCTTAGAGAACCGCTGCTAGTCTGAGTAGACAAGACCAACCTTGATGGATCGAGGGTCTGATGCCACGCAAGACAGCTTTATACTGTGTCCTTTTTGGCAGACCTCCACAAAACCCTCTCCTGAAAGCTGGGAGACCCGCTGGAGCATTGCTCAATGCAATGCAATTCGTTGCAGACCAAAGTTACAAAATTGCAACCCTCCAGGCCCTCATGAACGCACCACCCGGGGCTTTCATAATCCCAGCTGTGGACGTCAGACTTTCATATTTGCTACATGTGCAAAATTAGATTGTACACAGAGTGTGGAGCTAAAGATTTTGGTTAAAAATGTGCTTCCAGTGCCTTCAGTATTTTTCATACAGTTGCACTCTTTCCTTCAATAACCCCTCCCCATTACCCCTATTTGTGTTGCGACATTTCTCAGCTGTGTCCCAAGTTACCTTTTTATTGTTACGGTAATTTATTGAATGCATAATTTAACTGTAAGTCTTTTTCCCCCTTTCCAACCCTTTGATTTACAATGATTTAATTGCTTTGTTGAAGGTTTTCCCCCACCTTATGAAGGACCACCCCCACAAGACCCTATCCACCTGGATCAGCTGCACTATGGCTTCCGATTGTCTTATCGTTTTCAGAAATCAGGAATCTCCCCCCCCCCAACCGTGTCCCAAATCTCAGTGTTAACGTTAAGTCACATGGAACTGCTTTGTCTCGTTTACCGTTTGCATTCTTTCTCTGGCATTTCCAGTATTGCATCTAAATCCCTTTACATCACCGATCACCAGTGTTCCCTCTAAGCTGAGTTAGTGTGACCTAGCTCACAGTGTTTTAGCCTCCAGCTCACACATTTTTGTCTTGGCTCAGGAAGGATGGCTCCAGAGCAAACTAATTTATGAAGTAGCCAAATCGCTCGCTCACAACCTTAATGCCAGTAGCTCACAAAGCAGAATTTTTGCTCACAAGACTGCGCGGCTTACAGGGAACATTGCCCATCACTAAAGTCTTTTTAAACATCAAAATATTGGAAATAGGAAAAGGAAAGAGAGGTTTGCTCTGACCTCCGACCTTCAGGGGCAGTTCCATCACACAGCAAGAGGCAGGAAACAACTGGGATGCTTCCCCACCAGACTTTCCAGCTCTCTCGACAGCTTTCTTCCCCCCCCGCCAAACCCCCCCCCCCCCCAAAAAAAACACCCCGGTTTCGGTGCAGCCAACTGCACAATGTCATTTCCCCTCTAAACAAAGTGCTTCCTGCCTGATTTGTAAGTGCTGAAGTTGATTTAATTCATTTGCTGAGTATGAGATTCCTCTTACGCCTCGAAGAACTCCATTCCTCTTTGGAGCAGATGTCTGTGCGGGGGGGGGGGCTCCATCGGGGGCTCTGGGCTTCAAACCCCCCTCACAGGCAGAGGCTAGGAGTTGCAGTGCCATCCTAAACAGAACGAAGTCTGGGTCCAGTCGGGCACCTTCAAGACCAACAAAGTTTAATTCTGAGTATAAGCTTTCGTGTGCACGCACACTTGTTCAGATACGTTTGAGTGCGCGCACGCACTGCGTGTGTCTGAGGAAGTGTGCCTGCACATGAAAGCTGGTACCCAGAATTAAACTTCGTTGGTCTTGGGAGGCGCCCCCTGGACTCTGTTCTGTTGCTTCAGACCGACACAGAAGTCGTTTCGGAGGATTGCCGTGTTGCTCTGCTGCAGAAGAGCCGGATTCCAATCCTGTAGGACATTAGAAACCAACAAGATTTTCGGGGGAGGAGCTTTCGAGAGTCAAAGCTCCTTTTGACAGAGACCCGATATCTAACGAAGGGAGCTCTGATTTTCGAGAAGTTCATACCCTGAAGATCTTGTTGGTCTCTAAGGCGCCACTGGGCTCGAATCTAAGCTATCCTAAATGGAGTTACACCCTCCTTAGTCCATTGACGTCAAGAAGCTCAGGAAGGTGAAACTCCACTCTGGGTTGCGCTTTACTACCTGCGAGACTGCAGGGGCCCAAAGGCCTCTCTTGAGGTGCAGAAAAGGAATGCAGGCAATGCTCCCTCTAAGCTGTGGAGTCTTGTGAGCAAAAATTCGTCTCTGTGAGCTACTGGCATCAAAGTTGTGAGCGAGCGATTTGGCTGCTGCATAAATTAGTTTGCTCTGGAGCCGTCCCTTCCTGAGCTGAGACAGAAATGTGTGAGCCGGAGGCTGAAAAACTGTAAGCTAGCTCACACTAACTTATCTTAGAGAAAACACTGAACGGCGGTGCACAACACTAACCCCTACAACTGGCAGGCAGTATGAGGCTCTTGGACTGGCCAAGCCTGTTAAGGACACCGACAACTTGGTCTTCCGCCCTCAGCTGGTCACCATCTTTGGCCCATTGCCACTCGCTACTGAGGGGGGCATGGGTCAGTGTTAAGAGCACCTGCTTGGCATGCGGAAGGTCGCAGGTTCAGTCCCCGGCATCTCCAGTTAAAAAGGACCAGGCAGGAGGTGATATGGAAGACCTCAGCCTGAGACCCTGGAGAGCCGCTTGCCGCTCTGAGTAAACAGTACTGATTTTGATGGAGCAAGGGTCTGATTCAGTAGAGGGCAGCTTCGTTAATGAAAAGCAGAACCACTGGAAAGAAGAACCTCTTCTGATCCAGGCCTGATCTGCCTGTAAGTTTCTGCCTGGCCATGATACGCATGTCTCTAAGCAGAAGAGTGCAGTAGCTTTTTAAATGCTCTCTTCAACACCCCTCCTGCTAAAGATAGATGAAGATGGGTGGCCGTGTTAGTCTGTCTGTAGCAGTAGAAAAGAGTAAGAGTCCAGTAGCACCTTAAAGACCAACAAATTTTGTGGTAGGGTAGAAGCTTTCATGAGTCACTGCTCGCTTCTTCAGAAGAAGCGAGCAGTGACTCACGAAAGCTCATACCCTACCACGAATTTTGTTGGTCTTTAAGGTACTACTGGAGTCTTATTCTTTTCTACCCCCTCCTACTATATGGCATCATTTCCCAAAGCAACCCTGTAGCATGTTTGACCGGTTTGGGGGGCTGAGGAGCGAACTGGAATAATAGGATAACAGAGCACCATGGACTCCAAACCATCGTGTCCACTCAGGTGATGTTTATCCATTTTTCTTTGCAAGCAGATATTGCTGAAATTATACAACTTAAGGCGGCAGAGGCGTGAGACCCAAGTGCCACTTTGGACTGGGAAAAAACAGAAACCCTGAACGCCACCCAGCAATGCAATAATTCTCATGTTGCCTTACCCTTTCCTGCCAAACAGAGACTCCGACTCTCAGAAGGAAAACATTTAGCTCAGTGTTTCCGTTTTCCATTAATGTTGTCAAGTGTTTTCTTAAACACACACACACATGCAGTGAAAGCAAACTGGAGCTAGAATAATCCCCCTTTTAAAAAAAAATTCACAGATCTTGGGAAGGCAGAATCTTCTTTTCTTTTCCTGCCACTCACAGAATTATTCCCTGTTTCAGAAAGCGCAGATTTATCAAGCATAATTATGTCCCAGCTTAAATTCACGGATGCTTTGATTCTCCTGTTATGTTTTGTTCGTTTCTTTTAATGTCAGTCCATCTGGCTACGGATTAGCATCCAGGCACAAGAGTCGTCAAGCCCAACGTCTGCCCTCATGATTGGCGGGCACTGTGAAGGCTCTGGATTGGCCTGGTGGGATATAAATACCAAGAAAGTGGCCTCTGCCTTTGTCACCTGTCTTGGCCTCCCACACGTCTGTTTAAGTGTGGCTGAAGAAAATTCAATGGGGGATTTTAGTAACAAGAGTTTGCATTCAGGATTACAACTGTGGTTAAATTTCCTTCACAGTGTGCTGCAAGCGCAGTTCAGTGTTCTAATAAAATGGAAAGGACAAAATTTTAGATACGTGGAAAGATTTAATCTCCTTTTTTGTGAATGTACAAATCACTCACAGCTCCTGCGTCTGTACTTTTGAGCCTCTGACATTCAAAACGTCTGCATATTTTCTTTAGGAATCACTTTCATCGGCAATAAACGATAATTTCCCAGTTATGAATTGTTTTGGCTTGGGAGGGGGGAATGTGTATGTGTGTGTGTGTGTGTCAAATTGTACACGTGTCAAATTCTGGATCAAGTGTGATTTTTCAGATCAGCATTCAATAAATACCTAAAGAGACATTTTTTGCAGGCTTTATAACTAACAAAATGAGTCTGAAGGAAAAACCTCAAGCAGGCAAAACAAAGAATTTTAAGGAATCAGAACTGAATTCTGTTCTCAAATATGGGGCCTTTTCCATTTCAATGCCTGAAGTTTTCAGAGTTCTTTGTAAATATGAGCCAAACTGTTCAGTGTGACAACGCATATTACTGTACATAGACCGAGGAAAAAAGTCTACTGATGTAAAAAGAACGTTTTAAAAGATTTTTATTAAATTATTTCCTAAGATACAGATTTATCTTCATTTAAGAAATAAACTCGTCTAGATCATTAAAGAATACTGTATGCTGTTTTATGTGTTAACAACGAAAGCCAGCACGAGAATGCCGTTATTAACAGGTTATTAATTCCTCAAAGTAAAAGATCAGTATTTTAGCTTGCAAAAATATTTATGATCTTATTTATGATCTTGTAGATCTTTTTTTTTCAACAGGGGAGACACAGAACGAGCGCTTTCACATATGCTGAATAATGCCGTTTCAATCCACTTCAATGACTGTTAGCAAGTAGATTTTGCCATTTCACACGGTAAAATTCAGGTGCAAAGTGTACCGAACGGATTGAAAATGCATGATTTAGCGTGTGTGAAAGCAACCTATGTCAAATCAATAAACGAAAATGGTTTGATGCCCCCCCCCCCCCCGCTTCCACCTATGTCTTTGGTGCAGATGCTCTGAACCATTTTTCGAGGACCGTGAAACTTCCACGGGCCTAGATGCAGAACAGCAGCCATTTTGTCAGATAAAAGGAAGTTCTTCTTCACACGAAGAGTGATTAACACATGGAATTCACTGGCAGAGGAGGGGGTAGCGGCTACAAGCATGGAAGTCTTCAAGAGAGAATTAGATAAACATATGGAGCAGAAGTCCATCAGTGGCTATATAGCCACAAGGTATAGACAGGAACTCTCAGTCTGGGGCAAGTGATGCTCTGTATTCTTGGTGCTTCTGGGGGGAGCAACAGTGGGAGGGCTCCTAGTGTCCTGGCCCCACTGCTGGACCTCCTGAAGGCACCTAGTAGTTTTGGCCACTGTGTGACAAAAGAGTGTTGGACTGGATGGGCCATTGGCCTGATCCAACATTGGCTTCTCTTCTGTTCTTATGAGGAGGTAAGAAATCATTGTCACCAGCAGAGACCTTGGAAGGCCTCCACCTATCAGGAGGGGCGTGTGATGGACAGGGTTAGGTTCCGCCTCTCCCTAAGAGTGGCCAATACTGAAGGCCGACAGCTGCGGCAGCATTTTCATTACTTTAGGGGGTGGGGGGAGGTGTTAAATACCCAAATTGCTGCTGATATACGATGGCTTCATATTCGTCTCCTTGCTGAGCTGAGCCCCAGAGTAATGGAAGGCACGGGGGAGACGCAGTCAGTGCCGCACTTGAGTCTCTCACCGCACCCCCGCCCCGCCCTATTCTTCAAGTCCGACACCGGTAGGGTTGGGGTCAGAATGCAAAAAAAAAAAAAAAAAAAGAGCTGTGGGGAAGGGGATCCAACATTCAGCACTTTGGTACAGACTAGAGAAGGCGACTATATTCCAATCCCCCTAATTTTGCAAATCAAAGCACATTAATTGGTACACCATCCACCACAGAGGGCAGCAAGCTGCAACAATTAAAAAGTCAAACAACGTCAACATTCAGAGG